TATCTAGAAAAAAGGATGATTCTAATTTGGAAGATGGGATTTACGGCGTTTTACCTTATGTTGCGCCAGAAGTGTTAAACAATCAATCATATACAACAGCTGTTGATATTTATAGTTTCGGTATTATTATGACTGAGATTTCTACAGGAAAACCTCCTCATTATTATATTGAGTATGATGAAACGTTGGCTATTCAAATATGTAATGTATTACGTCCTGAATTTGCTAAAGGCACTCCTGAGTGCTATATACAACTAGCAAATCGATGTATGAATGCCAATCCATCTAGTAGACCAACTGCATCTGATATCTGTAAGGAATTATCGAGATGGGATGATATAGTATATGATAATACTGCATTTAATGAAGATGAATTAGCAATATTCAAAGCATTTCAGTCTGCCGATGCAATTATTCCAACATTATCAACCAAATTGCCAGTTTATCCTAAAGATAAACTTACAAGTAAACTGCTCAACTTTAAAAATCTTTCTAAGCCAATTAATTCTTCATTTATTTCCATACAAAATCGTTAAAAATTTATGGTAAATAATTTACTGTATTATATGTTAAATTCAATGATAAAAGTTTTTACTTTTTAATTTTCTTTTAAATTCTACTACTCCCGATTTTTCAATTTCTGATAATGATTGTCATAATATTTCACGTATGTGTTAATAACTCAATTTACTAATTTATAACGATGAGAATATTAATTGATCTATTTAAATATCTTGCCTCTAAAGCGATTTGTTATAAGCCATGAATGAATTTATTATCGCACAATTATTTTGCATACTTTTTTTAAATTGTAAAGTCTAAATTTTATGCGACGTTAGAGAATTTCAAATTTATAGTTATACTAACTTAACCAAAGAAATAAGTTTTATTAAAAAATTTATATAAGACTATACAAAGATAATTCTTTGGTTCTTATACAGTAACTTTAGAATTCTAAAGTAGTTATAACCACCTGATTTTTTTAAACCAAATTTTATATAAAAATTTTTTTCTTTAAAATATTTATTTCCACTAAAGGTGTCTAAGGACCTTCAGTATAGTGAAGAGAGGTAAAACTAAAAAAAAATAAAAATAAATTTATTTTAAAAGTATTAATAACCTAATATTTAAATTTGAGTTATATAAAATGTTAAGATTTTTAATACATTTAAGCATTCATTGTAATGATTTATATTCATTAAACAACAATTATTTTTTCTTTAACTAATGCATGTTTCTAATATTCATTCAAATATTCATGTACAAGAAAAGTAAATATTTATGTTTGTTGTTAAAGAAAAAAATAAAAAGCTAAAAAGATAAATATTTATTTTCTTGTTTTAAAAATATTATATGCAATCAGCATTTGCTCTATTTTAATCAATTAAACCTAATTAACTTAATTAATATGAAATTATTAGGTAACATAATCAATTTGATATCTGCATAATAAACGACACATAACAGGAAATGTACTTTGCTAAAACCTCACATTTTTGTGTTAGCATTAAAATATCCTAAATTTAGCAGAATTAATAAATATTACAGAATAATATAAGCATAATTGAAAAAAAATTATATCTAATTACAGTTATAGATTCTTACTAGACATTCACTATATCATTATAAATAAATTTATTAGGCATTTAATAATTTTTATGTTTGACTAAAATTTTTTATAAATTCGCTCAATCGATAAAAGCATTTTACAGTATTTTATAATGCTATTGTGAGGATTACAATTATTTTAAAAAAAATTTAAAGCTATAAAATGCATTATGCTGTCAAATAATATGATGTCATCAAGTTGGCTTATTAAGATTAAAAATCCTCTTTTTTATTATAAGTTTCAATTGAATTTTTTAAATAATATTCTACTATTTAGCGTAGATGAACATTTTTCATAACAAAGTTGTTTTGTCAGGCTAAAATAACAAGACAGTTGCTTTGGAATAAAAATGTTCGTGAAACTAACAATAGATTGAGTTGAAAGGGACAAGTATATTCAGAGAGTTGATTTGTTTTTTTTTTGGTAAGTAACTTTTGAGTTGATTCCACTCTTGTTTACTAACACTATTACTAACTAAATAATTTTTTTATCTTTTTGAACCATGACCAATTTGCCACGTTGAGTGGGGTTGAACTAACAGAATGAGGTAATCTACATTTTAATTTTATTTACCTCTGTACATTGGGTCTCAGCCAGACAAGTATCACATGGTTCGAGATCACATGCACAAGACAAGTTGGGCATATGAAGGTCCTGTTTAATAACAATAATAGACTGCGAAATGTAAGATTTATTTGATCATGGTGTTACTATACTGGTCAATGAAGCTTTATATAGATGAATATATAGGACTTTTGGATGTTTATTTGAATGAAACTATTGTAACCGTTGATTGGAAAAGCTGAAAAGATTGCAATGGACTTTTGGTAAATGTAATGGGTTTTTACAACTATGTGAGAGTTAGTTAAACCAAATAACAAACAGTTTCTATAAGTAACATTGTAAATGGCAATATTTGATTTCACAGTCATTCTAGAATCCGAGTCTTAATAAACCGAATCGAAGTTACAAGTCAATTCAGTCCATCGTATTGAATCTCGAAAGGTTTATTAAAGTTACAAGTCGACATTTTACATTAAAGTTACAAGTCGACATTTTACAAGAGAATATTCAGATAAGCATTTAATTTTATTTAATCAAAGTGGAACGAGAGATGGTTTTTGTTTTATTGAGCAACTGTTGCTTATATACATTTTTATTTTCTAGGACATTTACGTTCAAATTTGAGTGTATACTCTCAAGGCACAGGGATTTACAAATTTGTATAAGAACGTATATGCATATACGTGCTTGCATACATTAAGTCACCAAGCTACAATCAATTTCCATTTTAGTACACTTAAGATAATTATACATAAAAAAAGTTGGCTACTGTTATCAAACTGGAATTAAGGAAAGAAATATATACATAAAATAAAATAAAAATAATAAAAAAAAGAAAACTAATAAAGTAATAAAAGGACATTTTATTTGTTACACTATTACTGTAAATGTGCATATACGAGACCAGGTCTTTTCAAAAAACTTAATTAGTAAAATACAGTAATTGGAAGAGAAACTTCTTTCTTTTATCAAATTTGAAAGCCCTTGCTTAAATACATTTATATAATATCTATGATAGTGTGTTAATTAGCATGATGTCATAGTATATAATTTTTTTGTTTATAATCCCACCTTATCTTCATATTGTTATAAATGAATTTGCAAATTTAAGTTATATTTATTGGTTAACTGATTGCATAAAATGATATAGTAAAATACTATTTATTATCTGAAAATAATTTTGTATTAGCTTGATTAAGATCTAATTCATTTGCATAATTGTGTCAACTTGCTGATGGAATATTTAAATGAATAGTGAGTTGATCAAGTATCTTAATCCTTGCCAAGACATTTTCATTATAGGATGGCTTTTCTTGATTACGAACTGCAATCAAATATTTAATATGAATCTTTAAATTTTCGGCTACAAAGTTTTTAAGAGACTTAAGCAAAGATAAAGACTTTTTGAACTCAGAGAAATCACTAGGATCAAGATATTTGCAAAGTTTTTGGCATCAAACTTTAACAGCAATAAATTGTTCAATATTCTCATTAGTTGGATCACTATAAAAAATAATTTTATATATAAAATTATTAACTCTTTCTGACAATCATTTGTACCAAATTTCTGCTACAAACATTTGATTCTTACTTAATATTTTATTAAGTAAACTGCTTTTGGACGTCTAAGTAAAGTTGTTTATAACACAATTTTACATTTAAGCAGTCATGTTTTATATCTCTAAGTTCCTTTTCAACAGAGATATATTTAACAAATTAAAAAACATTT